AGGGGGGGGAGGATTCGGCCGTTAACCGACACGTCTCACACATAAAAAATGGAATCAAGTCCCTTTGTGAGGTAGCCGCGCGAACTCAGCTGCGCGCGCCGTTTCGAATGTCAGCGGCATGAAACCCGCCGGCAGAAGCCCCGACAATAGGCAATTGCTAGGCGGCGAGCGCGCCGAGCAGACGCGAAATTGCGCGTGCGCAAACCCTTACCTTCTTCCTCCTCCCGGCTCCTTTCCCCGCTTCGACCGCGACTCGGGAGCGCGCTTCGCTGCGCGGGTCGTAGGTGCGCTCTTGCGCCTCCCGTTGCCCGCGGAAGTGTTTGGATAGGCGACCTTTTCTGCCTCCATAGCAACGCGCTTGGCGTCTCCGTCCGTGGCGCTGAGGCCTCTTTGCCTGTGTTCACACGCGTCCTGCTGCGACCCGTCCCCTTACCTGTCGCTGGCGTTTGGCGGGGAAAGAGGTTGTGGGGAAGCGCTGGGCAGAAGGGCGTGGAGTTCGTGTGAGTGGGGAAGGAGACCCGTGTGCGTCGGTTTCGGTGAATTGCGGGGCTTCGACGGCCCAGCCGCCTTCTTGAGACATCATATAATTTGCTAGTGTATGCGCATTAGCCCTTGCCACACTTCGTCCGAAGGGAGACGACAGTCCTTCTGAGGAGCCCGTATCAAGTGTGGTTTGTGTGTAGCCCGGTAGAAACTGCCCCCCACCCCTTGGCAATCTTTCCCTTCCGACACTTTTATTTCCCCCAGTCTGGGCTCGATCTGATAAACTGAGAGAAAAGCGATTAGGGATGCAGGCAGATGTGCTAGTGCTTCTTTTGCCATCTCCCCCACTCTTCTTTCTGTATGAATGGGCGTAGCTGGGAGGGGGTCAGCTGCCAGCAAAAGAATACAAATCAATACAAATCTGAGATTCTGCCCCCCCCAACAAAAGTCTCTTCCCCCCAACAAAAATCCTGGCTACGCCCATGCATGGTTTCAGCAGTTTTTAATACGCCAAAATGATTCCACCGCTACCACTACGCGTAACAGTAAATTGAAGTGTCTCTGCCTGACACATCGCAGAATTGTAAGGGAGTCGGGACCCCCAAAAGCATCTAATCCGACCCCTGCAAAACAAGAAGAGGCATTCGCTTGTTCTGTGGGATTCAAGACATCTTTCCAGAAAAGGGTGTTTCTGGGTATTGCCTCTTACCCAAAATTAATGGTCAGGCTGCAATATTTTGCAACTGGGAAAATGTGATTCTCCCCCACCCCTTCAGCTAGAAGCACTGGTATTGTAAGGACCATCTTTCATCCGCTGAATAACCCCTATACCAGGGGTCTGCAACCTTTAAGACAAAAAGAGCCACTTGGACCCGTTTCTGAAGGGGGAAAAAAACTGGGAGCCGCAAAACCATTACGACATTTAAAACAAATATATCTCCGGAGCCACAATCTGACAGCAGGCGGGAAGGTGACTAACGCACGCACCGCACCCATGCGACGTCACAGCCAGTACAGCGCCCGCCACAGTGGGGAGTGTCGGGGCACACAATGCGCCTCCTCCCCTCGCTAGTATCCGCCCCGGAGCCGCAGCAAAGGTGTAAAAGAGCCACATGCAGCTCCAGAGCCGCGGGTTGCTGACCCCTGCCCTATACAAAGGGCAAACCAGAGAACCATGGGCGAAGCCAGAATTTATTTTAGGCGGGGCAGGCTTTATATTAGGGGGGCAGAGAACTGAGTTAACTAACTGACCAGTTGTGTTACAGGTAAGTATTTTTATATATTTACTTGATTTGAGGGGGCAGCTGACCCCCCTGGTTATGCCCTTGCTTAATCATCGTGCCCGTTACACAATTTTGAAATTTCAAAAAGAGTTCAAATTCATTTGACCCTTAAACATAAAAAAGTGGTTGAAGTTCCATTTTGCTACCAGCAGTGCTGTACCATTTCCTGGGCCTTTTCTACTTGTCAAGCACTACAGATCATTTTAATTTAGAAGTAGTGAACAGCAGTAAATTTATTTCTTGCCCATATCAATAGGACATCTTTCTCACAACTGTTATATGAGGATTGTCCCTGGATCAAGATGAACACAATATAGCACTATACTTGTTTTTAAAAGGTCCTAGAATTCCATATTCTAGAGGCATTTCTGGGTAAAAAGCATTCCAATTTGATGAAAGGTTTTCAGATTTTAAAAATATCATAGTGATATGAATCTTTGCATTCATCAGATTTGCCAGTACAGTGGTACCTTGGTTCAAGAACAGCTTAGTTTATGAGCAACTTGAATTAAGAACACTGCAAACCCGGAAGTAGGTGTTTTGGTTTGTGAACTTTGCCTTGGAAGCAGAACACATTCCGCTTCCTGTTGAGTGTAAATTGAACCCCCCCGCTAAGGGAAAACACGCCTTGGTTTAAGAATGCTTTGGTTTAAGAACGGACTTCCAGAACAGATTAAGTTCATAAAGCAAGGTACCACTGTACTGAAATGAGCTTACCTGACTCAATTCTGTGTATCTTCTCACATATACAGTATTGCTGGGAGCTCTAAGGTTCTGGGATCAGCATTTTCTAGTACTTTGTGAGGTGGGGGATCAGGAAGAAGAGGAAGCCCCAGGACTTTTTATTAAAGTACCCATAGTTTTTTTAATAAATATATATTTTTGCAGTATTGTCACTCTGTGACCACCAGTTTAGTTGTGATCAGCCAGAAGTGAGTCCCTTTAAAAGGAACTCAATTTCAAGATAGTTAATAGGACCTTAATTCCAAATTAGGATTATAAAGTCAGGTGTAGCTTGACTGAAAAGCTTTGAATAAAATGTTGCCCCTATGAAATACACACACACACACACACACACACACACACACACACACGTACTTATAAGAATCCTAGATGACAGGTGCCATCTGAGCAGAAGTCCTTATCTCAAACAGAAACAAAGCTTATTCTGAAATACTGTAGTCAAAACAAAAAAAATTCCTTCCAGTAGCACCTTAAAGACCAACTAAGTTAGTTCTTGGTATGAGCTTTCGTGTGCATGGTCTTTAAGGTGCTACTGGAAGGAATTTTTTTTGTTTTGACTATGGCAGACCAACACGGCTACCTATCTGTAACTGAAATACTGTAGTACTTGATCACTACTATGTTTTTCCCCTTCAAAACTAGTCGTACCTCGGGTTAAAACAGCTTCAGGCTGAACATTTTCAGGTTGCGTTCCGCAGCGACCTGGAAGTCACGGAACGGGTTACTTCTGGGTTTTGCCACTCGCGCATGCGCAGACGCTCAAAATGACATCATGCGCAGAAGCGGTGAATCACGGCAGGCATGGGGTGTGTTCAGCTCAGGATGCGAACGGGGCTCCGGAACGGATCCCGTTCGCATGCAGAGGTACCATTGTAATGGTTTTATTCATATGGAATTTTATACAGATTTTAAAAATTAAAACACCATTAGCCTACTATGTCCTGCTTCTATATAAAGAGCTAGGATGTTAGTATAATAGTCTGTAGAAAATTTGGGAAGACATCTGTTACCATTAATCTTTTCTTTATTAGGAATATGACTAAGAATGTCTCTGAAAATGAGAAGAAAATCTCATTGTAATTAAATTATTTCATAGTAACTAGAAAATAATGTTGGAAAAAGAGTATACAATAATTTTATGACTCTGAAATATACTTTATAACTTTTTGTTTTATTTGAAGGCCCTGTGTGACAAAAAGGAATACATGGATATTGAATTCTTGGGAGTAAAAAACTGACTTTACTGCAAGATTATGGTTCGACTAACATTGGAGCTAATTGGTAAAAGCCTCAATCAGAAGAATCGCAGAGATGAGTCCTTGGCCCATTACTTGAGGAAAACGACTCATCTCAAGTTATCAAATAAAAATATAGATATAATTGTAAGAATACACTGATTATTTGAAAATACAACTTCTTTTTTATTTGTTATTTGCTTTCTGTTGTTAATAGCAATTCAAAGCATTTTTATCCTGCTCTTCAGCCAAAAAGTCTGCCAGAGGTGCTTGCATAACTTCAATAAAAACAAGACTCTTTCAGTTAGCAAAAGAGTCAGGAGGGAATTTGTTAAATTAAATTTTATACCATTACAATAATCAGCTTGAAATTACTGACTAAAAGACAATAGCACTTAGTTAATTTAAAGCATCTTTCATTTGTACTGAAAGTTTTAAATCAGAAATATAGTTTGTTTTAAATATATTTGAGTATAGTGGAAGTAAATGTATTGTTTTCAGAAATTTGCTTGAAATTTGGGAAGATCATAGCATCCCTATATTCTGGAATGATATACAATTCTAGTGTAATTGTCAGTTGGAAAATATGAGCTGAGATCCGAAGAACTAGTTCAGGCATTCCTAAGGGTTTGGCTACGGGCAGTTAGAACTTTCCATTTTCTCCTTTGAACAGCAGACCCCCATGCCCAATAATAAAGTGCTTCTGAAAGTTTCATCCATTTCAAAAGTACGGTAACTTGCTATGTAACATAGGGGGGAGGACAACTTCAGTGGCCCCTTAGATATTTAGAACAGCGTGCTATTCTTTAGTTCCTAGCCATCATAAATTAAGATAGTATCCATTCATTCTATATTTACAACTATATCTACCAAGGATACCCTAGATAGTAAGATCAAAATGTTGAAGGAAGTATAAAAAAGCCCATGCAGTAGGAAAAGGCTGTATCTGGGAGCTGAAGCATTTTACTTATGAGTGAACTGCACAGTAACACACTTTCTTCATTCTTTCTCTTAGGATGACCTGTCTTTGTGTAAAAACCTTAATGTCCTTTATTTGTATGATAACCAAATTAGACAAATACATAATTTGGATTTTGCTACAAACCTAAGGCACCTATACCTGCAGAACAATTGTATTACACGAATTGAAAATCTAGCATCATTAATAAAACTTGAAAAATTGTAAGTTTAAAATTATTATTGGATTTACTAACTGATGTGTAAATTGATATAAGAAATATAGCTACTGTATATACTTGCTGAATATAGTCAATATTTTATTTCAAATATGATAATTTTGTTCACATATTTCATTAATCCGAGAACACATTAACCCAAAGTTTGGCTAGTGATTTTACTGGATGAGTTAAGCATATGTTTGACTCTGTCCCACTGAAATCAGTTTGATTTTTACAGTTTTTTCCTTTGCCTGGATTATGCTTCAGATTAGCAATTGATAATATCTGGAATATTTCTTTACATTTTATTATTAATATTTCTACAATTATTAATATTTCTACAATAAAGTAATGAATTATATAGGACAACGTTCCACCCTGCCTCTATACATTGCTTTAAAACATTTTCATTTTGTTTGGGTTGTTTCCAGGTAATTCTCAATAGATTTGCATACTCTGATTTCTCTTCAGATTTTATAAATCTTTCACCTTTTACAAAATAGATTTGCTTGTAGAAAACTCTGTGATGGTTCCATGGAGCCCTATGGAAATTGGGATTTTAGTTTAATACACTTTATTTGTCATAAAATACACTTTTTTACTTTTGGAAATGTGTGCATTATTTAAAACAAATTGGGAGAACTGAAAACCTCTTATATACTGTTAAGGTATCTGGGCGGCAATTACATCACTGTAGTAGAAGGCTTAGAGACTTTAGAAGAACTAAGAGAATTACATGTTGAAAGCCAGCAGCTTCCCCTAGGAGAAAAGGTTTTGTTTGACCCAAGAAGTCTTCATTCACTAGCGGTAAGAATATAGAGTTTCAGTGACTTCTGGTGAAAGATATTGATTGCGAAAAAATTACAAGAATTATTTTTAAGTCTAATATGTGTTTGCCAAAGAGCTACATTCCCATAGGATATGAATGCAAAAGGGTTAATTTTTATTATTACTACTACTACTATTTGCACATCAAAAATATGTGTAAAACAAAGGGTGTCCAATAGTAGTGAGTTCTATGGTAATTCTTTTTGTTTTGCAATAAGTTCTGTAATCATTTTTGTTGCATTCATTTCTCATCATTTGATAGAATATGTTTGTCATTCCCATTGCCAAGAACATTTGGTTGACAATCAGCATTTGCTCGGTTAGGTATGTTTAATTTAGAAGCAAAACCCTATTATAATTTTTGTAATCGTATGAAACAAACCAAGGTTGCAAGAAATGTGTAGATTGTTGGCTATAGAATCCTTTTTTTAAATTTCCATTTAAAACTGAGCAAGCACAGCTTAATTATAAGCATTATATGTATTATATATACCCATTAGATGCAGCAAAACCTGATCCTCTTTGTCATTTGACAACTTCAAAACTGAAGCTACAAAAAAGTACAGCTCTATATTTGTATTTTGTTTGTATTTTCTTCCTCGTCGTAGTTTTTTCATGGTCAATTTACTGCCATTTGTATTACGAAAGAGCATTAAAAGTACCCAGTTTCAGACTATTTAGATTGTATTGTGTACTGATTAATTCCTCCAGGTCCAAGAGCTTTTCTGATCATCCAGTGAAAATCAAGTTAAGCAAAATCTCACTTCAAATTTTCTGCACATCTGATAAGATCTGACTTAGTGGGTAAGATCAGGTTTTCACAAGGCACAGCTGCAGAACAATGAGAAAGGCTCTCAGTCCCAGGGGAATTAACCAGTACACAATACAATCAAAATATGGGTCAAGCAAAAGTGTAGATGAGCCCAAAGCGTTCGTTATGAGGTGCTGATAAAACATACAGTTGTGTGGTGCAGTGCTATGCATGTTTTAATCTAGTGAGAAGTTAGTCTCACTAAGTTTAATCAGGTTTATTCTCTAGTAACCACATATGATTTCAGCAGTTAACTTTTGACTTTTCTTTTTAAATGTTAATTTCATTGCAGAAGTCTTTAACAGTTTTGAATATCAGCAATAATAATATTGATGAAGTGAGTGATTTAGCAATTCTGGAAAATATCTCCCACCTTATAGCTGTTGACAACCAAATTCACCATGTGAAGGTAATAAAGAGGAAATAAGATTGATAAGCATATATGGGAAATTAAGGCAGTTAATATTTAATAATCTTTCAGTGGTTTGAATTATTTGTTTTTATGGGATAATTTAAAGTTAATATGCATGGATATATTTTTCTTTTTCTGTGGCCTACAGTGATGAAGTCCCATTTCACTACATGACTTTTACAACACTGTTTATCACACTCATTTCTATCTGTTTATTTATTTCATATAATTTATATACTGCTTGATTGTAGGAAGCAAACCTCAAAGTGGTTTACAAAAAAAGATAAAACAGTAACTTTGTCACTAAAAAAATTGCAACCATAATTTAAAACATACAGAAAGTTAAAACCATAACGGAATAGACTAAAACATTTATCTAAGAGGGTTAAACAGATCATGGAGAGCAAGGTAATCAATGCTTATTAGTCATGATGACTATATATTACATCCAGGATCAGAGGCAGCATGTCTCTGAGTATCACTCGCTGGGAAACAGTAGAAGAGGCCTACTGCTCTCATGCACAACTTTGGGCTTCCTATAGGCAACTCTTTAAGACCATAAGAAACAAGATGTAGGATGCATTTGGCTTAACCTACTAATCCATGTGGTTACTAGGTAAAGCTACATCCTAGGGTGCAGATGTGATGCTCTATCCTATGAACCACCAAACAGACAATTAGCACTGTCAGCTCAGCGATCCTAATCACATATACACATTCCAAGGTTTCTCATTTTGTTCTATGCAACCAAGTGGCATGTATGCCAAAAAATGGATCTCCTGTCTCCAGTGGCGTAGCGGGGGTGCAGGGGGGGCCGGCCGCAACATCTGGGGGTTAGGGTTAGGGGGCGCAAATCCACGGGTTAGGGGCGCAAATCCACGGGTTAGGGGGTCAAATTACTTGCCTTGCCCCGGGTGCTGACAACCCACGCTATGCCACTGCCTGTCTCCACGTTGTACAAGAGTACCCCCTTTATTCACATAACCATGGATTATGACCTACAGGTTCAGATTATAAGACTTTCACTTTTAAATAACTAAAGTAGTACCATTCCTATTTATTTTGGAAGGCCTTACGCTGGTTCAGTGTTTGGGGAATATGGCTGTAAATCTTTAATTTATTCAACCTTTTGCCATTATTGATTATGACAACAAGATATCAAAAAGATGAATTCCTTCACTTCACAATTCAGTCAGGAACAAGAGAGAAAATATAGATTTTCTGAAAGAGATAATGGCAGACCGTCAGAATGATGACAAATTGCTGTCTACAGATGTAGTTAGGGCAGTTGAGCTAGACACAGCCGATAAAAATTGGAGTACACTGGTCAAATACAGGTTCTTAAATGGCCATCATTAATTGGGAAGAAGGCGGCTGCTAGTACTACAGATGTCATCTGAGGCTTTCACCTCCCACAGTTTGCCTAGAATATAATTTGCTCTTTAGTATTTTGTAGCAGACCTCTAAGTGATAGCATGACATGATCATTTATCAAACAGAGACTGCCCAAAAAAGTGTCTAGTCCCTTTAGTATAGTTTATTGAAAGGCTGTAAAGTGAAAGCACTTTATTAGAGACAGGAAGGCAATGAACAACTAGAGCGTATCCAAAGGGTAATCATATTTCAACATGGGATTAGTACCTTCTTAGATAAACATACAATGGCGTGAGCAGGTTCTGGATCATTTATCAAGTGAGTAGTAGTCAACAAAAATCTGGAAAATTCTGTGGGTACATTCATCAAAGTTTAGCTATTTACTTAGCAAGGTTCCAAGAAATATATACTATTTTACATTTTCAAAACCAGCTTTAGTTGAGCTAATTTTTCAAGTGCATTCTAGTTTTTCAAGTATAGGAAGATGATTTCAGTGGATCTTACAATGTAAATTTTGACATTTATGGAGACAACAAAGACAGACTTTGTTTCAGTTTGGGAAATAAAATGCCAAATTGTCCAGATACGCAAAACATTAGATATGCGAAACACTGTATCTGAAATGAAAATACATCCTGATATATTTTTATATGTGAGAAATAATATGTGCCTTTTTATTTAGTAATCAGAGCAGAATATTATGTATATAACTATGAAAGAAAACAGTTCCTTGAGGTTAATGTTACAGAAGCAGAATGTTTCCATAAATAGCTCATTGTGGGAAAGCTTAAAAGAAAACCTCCATGTTGCTTTCCATGTTCTGCATGACTCCTCTGGCAAACTTGAAATTTAACAGTCCAAGGATTATGGATTTTCCCAAATATGAAATACTGGAGAGTAAAAAGAAACCCTTGCTCTCCTGCTCCTTGCATCTGGTTTGTGTGGATAACTGATAGACACTAGAAAATATTGCTGAATAGCTTAAGAGGTTCTGTTGTACATTGAAAAGTAACATTTCCAACAATTTAATCTAGCTAGGACATGACATGAAGCTTCTGCATGTATGTCTGAAACTGGATAGAGAACCATACGTGTAGACAGGACCTGCCAATGCAGTTCCCCTCACTGATCCAAATCTGGTTCTGTGCAGGGGAAACCCTTTCAAAAACTTAGCATTTGCCACTCATCTATCTGGAAGCAGGGCGGGCACAACACACCTTTTGTCATAGAACTGTTTGTGTGCATCCCTGTGTATTGAGCCACAAGTGTTTCGTGATAATCATTGTAAACGACATGCAGGAATGCAAATACAGTAATAATAGATAATAACTTGAGTTCTGAAAAAAGCCAGCGGAAGAGGATTGGCAGAAGGTAAATTTCGTTCTCCACTCCTCACTGCCAGTCCTCTAAGTAGCCTCTCCTGAGGGTCAAATACTCTCCAGAATAAGGGGAGCACTGTGGCCTGGGATGTGTGAAAAGGGAGTTGCTGAAAATGAGATGGAGGCATCTTCTTTAAGCAGGATCTCTACACAGAGAATGTGCTCTGCTTGAATTTCAGTGGTTCTCCCCACAGCCTACCTCATTCAGGAGAGTCCCTGACTCTCAGAAGAAGCTTGTGAAGCTGCCGATGGAGGGGGAGCTGGTGGGAAGGAAAGCTGCCTTGTTGACATATTTATAACTCTCCCTTTCTCTGTAGAGATATCAGGGTGGCCTACAAAAAATGTGAGTTAAAATTAGCCATGGCAAAACAGTATAGTGAGCAAAACTCTAAAAAAAAGTTGAAAACAAATAGAACAATCTAAACAGTCATCTCCTTTCGCTGGCACTTCTCAGGATCTAAAGGTAGTGGCATGTTACAAAATTTTCAATAAGAGCATCAAGAAAAAGAGAATATTTACACAGATGGAAGTGAAAATATTTCTCCACTGGTGGAAAAAGCAAATTACTTTCAATTCAGTTGCCAAGTGCTATTATTTCTGGTTGCTGACAACAGTATCCAGAAATGCAATAAGAAGGTACTTGAGCAGTGCATTTCCACAAGAAGTCCCATATCTGCCAAATCTTATAAGTCATACAAGCCATGTTAACCAGTTTATATATTGTAGTAATATAAAAGAAAAACTAGGTCAGATTGCCCTTAATAAAAAAAGAAAGAAACCCATACTAGATAAAGGTTATGTAAAAACACAAAACTTTCCTTCTCCTAGCTCAGGCCAAGAAAATAACAGATGTGGAGGAAATTTATTAATTTTATTCTAAATAATTACAATAATCATGAAGGAATTATCTACCTGTGGCTTCCTCTCCATGAACAAACAACTCTGAATTCATTGGCACGTGAAGGGTTTTTGTATATTGTAGAGTGCCATCAAAACAACAACAACAACCAGTAGTAATATTCCAGTGCAATCTACCAAGGTTTCATATATATTCAGTCAGCTACATTATGGCCGGCATCCAGAGATATACCTCCACATATGGGGAGTCTATTTTCTTCATGTAAGCCCTGATGCAACTTGCATGAGGAAAATCAAGCCATATATACAGATTTTTTTGCATGTAAGCCCCTATAATTGAGCACATGTATTGTGCAACATCTTATATATATGTATGAAGACCTGGGCAAATGGTAGCTTGAAAAGATTAGACAGATTCATGAAGAAACAAGCTATTGATGACTACTAGCCATGATGACTATGCTCAGCTTCCACCGTTGGAGGCAGCAATGCTTCTCAATACAAGTTGCTGGAAACCAGAGGAGGGGAAGAGTTCTCTTTTTTTGCCCAAATCCTGTTGGTTTCCCACAGGCCTCTGGTGGGCCACTGTGAGAACAGGATGCTGGGTGAGCCACTGGTCTAATGCAGCAGGCTCTTCTTATGTTCTTATGTGTTTCTGGTGTTCTGGATTTTGGCCTATATTTTACATTTTACCTTTACAGTAGAAAGTGAAGATCAAAGGGTTGAAATCATGTTTAAGGAATAATTATTAGAAGGTTGCTTTTTGGCTTTATGTGTAAAGCATTGTGTTTCTTAATTTAACATACCGCATGCCATCATGTGATTACTTTTGTGTAAATAACATTACTTCAGGAAGTTTACATTTAATTGAATAAATAGAATTATGAATCCACTTACTTACAGCATTGAGCTAAGTTAGCAAAAGTATTGATTTTCTTTTCTTTGGTATTTGCAGGACTTGGAGTTTGTGCTGGGTGTATGGACCAACCTGCGCAAATTAGAGCTGAATGGAAATCCTGTTTGCCAGAAACCAAAATATAAGGACAGAGTTATACAGCAATCAAAATCCCTTGGTAAAATAATGTACTTTCAGAGAGCACTTTTCTTTTACCAGAAATTAATCCGTGCATTAACACACTTACCTGGGAAAAAGTCCCATGATGTACTCATTGGGGCTTACTTCTGAGTAGACATGTCTAGGATTGTGTTGCATACCATACAACAAATTTCCTGTGAATATGTAAGCTAAGTGGGTATAGGATTGTAGCCTTAGACTTCTATATAGGCCAACAGATGTTACTAGGTCACAAAAAAAATACTAGTTTGCCAGTCCCATATATCTATTAGTTGTTAGCAACCTTCAAAATACATTTTTAGTAGAAATAACCTGCCTAGACACCTGAGGCAATTCTTACTCTCCACAGGGGTCCAGGGAGAGGCCTATAACAAGCCACCACCCAATCCTATGTACATTTACTGAGAATTATTGTTGAAATAAAACTCTTCTAAAAGTAAACAGTAATGATTCCAGGCAGACCTCCCATGACTGTTCCAAATCTTGGGTGCCACAGACAAAGAGGCCCTGTCTGAAATATCCAACTGAGAAATATCTGCTGTATTTCTTATGAAGAATGAAGCCTTCAAGCTCACATGGAGGAAAGCACACAGTCACCTGCCAGAATCAGATTGAGCTGATGGAACTACTACAGAAGCCCTTAGGATGCCACCCAGGATGCTGGCACAGCCACCCTCTTCCCCCATGAAAGCTTTCCTAGATTCTGCCAAAGAACTGGTAGAGCACCAGTGGTTGTTGTGCTACCCCACAGCAGGGCTCACTGAAGCATGGAGATGAGATTTTCTCTTGTGATAGGAATCTAGCACCTATACCATAGCAGGTGGAGATTAGGGAAACAAACTGGTGTTTCAGGTCTGCCATAATCATTGATGGTGAAAGAACAATTCATACTGAGGCAAAAGTTTATCCATAATTGACTTCCTAAGAATACCAGAGCCACATCTAGGAAAGGATTGGGTAAGCCAGAGTTAATCAGCATTTTCTTGATACATGTTTACAAATATTACCTCTTCAGAGTCCCTCGATGGAAAAGAAATAAAAGAAATGGAAAGGCAATTCCTGATGAATTGGAAAGCATCCAGAGATGCCAGGAAGAAAAACAGGACAGAAAGCATGATGAATGAACATGCACCATATTTACATTTTGGTACACAAACTTTATCTTCATGATCATTTACAAAATTAAGAAAATAGGCTGTTTAGAAGGAAAAGGTTATAATGCTTTTAAGGTTACTGCTAGGAGTGTTTAGTCTTTTGGTGAATGCTGTGGGGGGATTTTTCAACTGGGATGGCCAATACTTCTTCTAAAGCAGTTCTCAAAAGGATTGCTCCTAGAAGCTCTCTTCAACAGGGTAAAACCCAAATGGCTCCCTGGAATACTGAGGAACCTAAATTCAAGGAGCAAGAAGAGTGATGGCTAGATGAATCTGACCAAACACGGTTACAAGCACATCTTTGTGTCTACTGTGTGGCAGTGGTTATGGGCTTACTTCTCTGCCAATATTACATCTTAAAGTAGCCATCCAGCAGAGCTTTCCTTTGTGGTAAAGGGTTTTCCCAGATGAAGGAGGTTGTCCCATTATTGGCCTGCTATGACAAATTTGCCAGGCACTTCAAGGGTAAAGTTACTCAGATCCATTCTAAATTGGATGCTAAGTTTGGTTATCCTATAGAGCCGTCCAGAGGACTGACTGGTCCGCTGTTACGAATCAGTTTCAAATACTGCAACACAAGGACATGGACAAGCTGCTCTAATGTATGTAGCCAACCATGTGCCTTCTTGACTCTTACTCCTCCTGGCTGGCAAGAGCAAGCTGACAGGGAGCTTCAAGCATGCTCTGATGAAAGCAACTAGACCCATTTCTTTCTAAATTCATGCCAGGTTTAGTGACTGAAACTGCTTTGGTTGCCCTGGTCAGTGACATTTGTCAAGAGATTAACTGGGAGAGTGTGGCCTTATTGATTCTCTTTGCTTACTCAGTGACTTTTGGTACTATTGGCAATGGTATACTGCACCCCCTGAGTTGGAAGCACTGCAGTGCAGTGGTTTCATTCCTATCTCCAAGGACAGTTCCAGAGAACAGTATTGGATGACTTCTGCTTGACCTGTAGGGGTTGTCCTATTGAGTTCTGTAGGCTTAAATCTTGTTGCAGATGCTATTTAATATCTATATAAAGCCACTGAGAATAGCCATCAGGGGATTTGGAGCAACTTGTCATCAGTATGTTGATGACACCCAACTCTGTCTCTCTGTTCCATCAGTACCAGAAGAGGCAATGCAGGCCCTGAACCAGTGTCTGTCTGAAGGCAGTGTTGGGCTGGATGTGGATCAGTAAATTGAAGATGAATCCAGGCAAGCCACAGATACTGTGGGTGGGTAGTTCTCTTGCCCAAGAGTTGGCAGAACATGTACTTGATGGGGTTGCTTTTCGCCGCGTCTGCGCATGTGCGTGACGTCATTTTGAGCGTCTGCGCATGAGCAAGTGGCGAAACCAGGAAGTAACACACTCCGTTACTTCCGGGTTTCTGCGGAGCGCAACTCGAACACGCTCAACTTGAAGCAAATTTAACCCGAGGTATGACTAGTTCAGATTCACTTTTTTTCAGAAAGCATTTGGAAGATGAGAGACCTGACTGGAAAAATAGCTTAGTTTGCTGCTGATAGTATTAGTAAATTGTTGTGTTGCTATGTTATGTATTTGGGGGTTGTGTTATTTTATGCTTTGTTTTTAAATTTTCTGATTTTGTTGCCCTTTGGCTTGTACGAAGTACAGTAGATAAATCTTCTAAATAAAGTATAAAGTATACTCACTCTTTTTGATAATGCAGTAAAATGATTGATGAATGGGTTATTTATCTTCTGTAGCAAATCTTCAAAATATTTTATAGGAACAATTTTGAACTACATTTACCCAGTATTTTAAAAGTTTATGTACTTTTATTGTGTACAGTTGAGCAGTTATAGTATTGCTGCCTGTAGAGAATCACTGTGTAAAAGTAGTTTTTAAAAAATAATAATCATCGTTATTTACCTATTTATGTCATTTTTCCAGAGTCTTAGTTTGTAAAATGAGTAACAGAGCAAAGGCTTCTCTTTATCATTTTTCTGCTACTTCCAATTTTTAGCTGAAAATTCTGCTTGGATAATGTTCTCAGACTCTTTGACATTAAACATGCACATCAGTAATGTTTATAGTTTATTTTTGAAAAATGCTATACTTCCATATATTATCCATGGTTCTGTTAAATTGTATTTCCACTTTATCTAGTTATTATATATTTTGCAGGTGTAACCATGTCTTCATTGTTTTGGTTAATATTTCAGGAAAAAAGTTTTTGGAATTAATGCATACATGTGTTTGTGTACCCTGCAGATAATAATGACAAAGAACACCCACATTTTCCTATTTACTATTTCCCAATGACCAAAGAAAAACCAAATTTTGCAATTTTGTCTGAGATGCATAGACCTCCTTATAGTAAAGAATCCCATCGAACCGCCCATGAAGAAGACAGAGTTACTGAGAAAATCAGGTATATTTCTTGTAGCATACCTTTGGAGTCCATCAGTATATGAAACTTCTGCATAACTGAAAGTTCTGCATAAATGAGGGGCTGGAAGTGCACTGTTTAGAGAGATGGGTTCACAGAGGTTAATCCACTAAAATTTATATTGACAAGAGAATACATACTAAAAGAGAGGGAGGTTCAGCTTCCTGTGTACAGCTGTAGCACACAGGGACTATTTTGTTGATATTTGAACAATTTTTGTTTTTGAAATTCTTCCTTTTTTCATTTCATATTTTTTAGCAAAATTCTGATTTAGGCTGATCACATTTTGTAACTGATAGGGCCAAACTATATATGTGTAACATTATTTGTGATAGTCCTTTTTAAATTGGAATGTCATTTTGGTAGTATGTTGTGTGCACGCGGGGCGGTGGGGATTTCCAGTTCATATTTGGAAGTTACTGGGGGCAAAAGCCCCTTATAGGGTGATTGGAGTGAAGAAACAGCACACATACAGTCTGCTACCACTTCTCTAATACTGTTTACTGTGAAAGCCCGGAAGGGAGGAGAACTCAATTGATCCTTCTGCCAATCCACCACAATCCAATAACTCTGATATCCTACGCTGATACCTTGCTGATCTACATGGCAAACCGAATCAGTGCTGACTGTGCAGACTTTATATGCAGCTGATTCTAATGCATGTCTGTATTTTTTTTCTCAACACAGCTAGCAGCAATGGGGGTAATTTTAAAAAAGGAATGGAGTATGAGGTTAAAACTTCCAGAACCACTTCCTGGACCTAATGTAGGATTCTTGCACATGTATTTTTTAAAGTCAGGAGATCCTTGGCCTTAAAGCTGCTTGGGTTTTATGCATCATATATAGGATGTGATCCAAAGATATCTGAGTGTACCAGTAAACTGTCAAACTATCATTGAACTCAAGGATTCTCCCTTTGTCCTTCGCTACTGAAAGTGCAAATCGTCTCTTGCAGTGAGAGGAAACCGGATGCTGGACTCAGCCTAGTCCTCACTTTCCCCCAGAAACTATCAAAGCTGACTGCACTGATTTCCTGTTCAGCAATATATGCACACTGCAGAAGACCACATGAGCATGGTTGAATTCTGAATGTGCCTTCCCTTGCCTGGCAGTAGCATTCTGAGCTCCTGTCAGGAGAAATCTCCCAGTAGAAACCTGTCTCCACAGCAGACCGCCCTAGCTGGGCTCTGCAGTTAGACAGAGAACAGACTCCTTTATCGGAATGATCTGGAAAACATTTGGATTGCCAGAATTAAGATAAATGGGGAAATTATTTATGTAAAATACAGAGTATACATCTGTGCAAAGAACACAAAAGAAATACAAGTATCAGGCATTGGGTAACTGAAATTCAGATAAGAAGTGTTCTGCATTTTCATTTGCATTGCACATATCTTTCTAGTCCTAACACGAGTATATCAAGCAGTTATTAAGAATACATTTCCATACCCACAGTCTGGGAGTAAGTGTCATTGAACTTGAGGTTTTGTTTTCTGAGTAGACATGCCACAAGATTATGCTGTACCCTCAAATGAATATTTTTTACTTATTTCATAGAAACCAATGATAATACTGCAGTCATTGTATGTTCTAGTGGTATTACAGTTTGCATTGTGTAGGGATTTTTTAGGTTTAACATTTAGGCTGCAATCCTGTGCATACTTACAGTGCATTGATCTCCATTGAACAAAATTGTATTTATTTCTGAATAAACATACATAGGATTGTACCATTGAACATATATACTGTACTGGGGACTATACTGTTTATTTAACATCTACAAAAAGCCGTTAGGAGTGAACCTCAGGATATTTAGAATGTGGTGTCAGCAATATGCTGATGCTATCCAGCTCTATTTCTTTGTTACAGTTGAATCAGATGTGGTTGTACAGGTTCTGAACCTGTGTCTGGATGTAATAATGAGAGCAAGTAATTTGAAATTGAATCCTGACAGGATGGAGGTGGGTGGTTCCAGGGTCCAGCAGTTGGGTGATGTGACTGTTCTGGATGGGGTTGCTCTCCCTTCTAAAGAAGGAAGCACACACTTTGGGAGTGTAGCTTGATTCATTTCTGTCTCTGGAATCCCAAGTGGCTACAATGGCTAGGACTAGGAGTACCATATATCGGCATTGCTGTACCTATTCCTGGACCCAAATAACCTGGCCATTGTGACCATGTATTGGTAACATCAAGAATAGACTACTGTAACAATGCTCTCTGTGTAGAGCTTTCCTTAAGCTTGGTCTGTAAGCTGGAGATGCTGCTACTATGTTACACTGGGGAATGTCCAATTACCATATTTTTCCATGTATAAGACTAGGGGTTTTTTCCGTTTAAAAAAATGTCAAAAATTAGGGGGCGTCTTATACATGGGGCCATCTTCCCCCATTTTCTTAAATCTGAGTCCCAAAAAATAGGGGTGTCTTATACATGGGGGCGTTTTATAGATATGTGTGTATTGCACTACTTCTAAGGGAGCTGCATTGGCTGCCAATAAGCTACGAGGCCAGGTTGTAGGTTTTGGTTTTTGCCTATAAGGCCTAGATGACTTGGGGCTAGAAAACCTACAGGAGCATCTTTCTCCTTACTGCTCCGTTCATGCATTTTATTCGGCCGAGGAGGCCCTCTTAGTTACCGTATACCAGTCTTAGTGAGCAAAAACTAAGGAAAGAGCCTTCTCTGCAGCAGCTCTCTTTTTATGGAACCACCTCCCCTCTGACAAGCACCAACACTGATGATATTTTGGTGCTTGTTAAAAACACAACTGCACTCAGGCTTTTTCTCACATTTAATGTGGAGGAGTCAGATACTGATTCCCTTAGGGTTACCAGCTACAATCATATTCATTTCATTATGATCTTGCTGTTTGAACAGTTTCATTGTGATTTGTGTTTTATACCTGTGCACACCAGCTCAAGGCAGATTGTAATAGGTAGTAGCTAAAATATTTTTATAAATAAATATAGCCATTTATAGTGCACTTCTATACATACTCTGTTTAGAAGAATGTGGGTATAGGATTACAGCCTGAATGTACTGCCAGAAATAAATGTCTGTGGAACATGGTCTAGTCTAGTTACATACTAAACACTTATGCAGAATTTAACAGAAGCTAAAGCATAGAATATAAACACATCTATGGAGGCAAATGGCATTAAACTGTTATTGTATCCAGAATTATTTTCATCTTTAAAATAATTGCTTTACAATGTTTTGTTCATGTAGCCATTTATCCCTGAAGAATCCTCAAAATGTACAGAAAAACCTGTCTGAACCTCACCTCCTAAGACAAATGCCTCTTTAAGAAGATACTGGAAAAGCAACATCTTTTTGTGTTATCAAGAGAACAAATGAGTGCATCAAACCAACTATGAAGAAAAACTGAATGTTGTGGAGAAAGTTTTATATTTTAATCAGAAAACACTAAGGCATGTTTTAAGTTTTTCATTGCTGACACAGTAATTTTTCACAATACAAAAGCAATATTTTGTATAACAGATCCAATATATGTAACTTCATAAATAAAAAGTTTAAAGTAAAGTACACAGGTGTCTTAATGAGAAAAGGTGCATGGGGAAATCCCAAGGTTTGCAGAAAAAGCTTAAAGCAGAATAAAAACTTACGGTAGAAAAAAGACCCTATCAAAACAGGCCAATGAGGACTCCATATGCTCAGTTGGGTTGGACCGGTGACTGCTGAGGATGGAAAATGGCAGAAAGATAGATGGAGTATTTTGATAAAGGACGTGGAGCTATCCTGACCATCAAAAGGAATCAACACTGCAACATTTGTTTGGAGTCCCCACAGATAGGCACTATTTGCTGGCCCTTTTTGTATGTTGGTAAATGTTTTTATGTAAAATATCACACTTTCATAGAAGCCTGTGTACAACATAAAACCAATAATATAATAACATCAATACATACCAGTAGGTAAAAAATTCACAATTCAAAGGCCTGCCTGAAAAATAGTTTTCAAAAGGTGTCTAAAAGAAGACAAAGATGACTCGTAATGGGCTGCTACAGGCAGGGCCTGTCACATTAAATGCTCAGTCCCTGGCAAAGGCTGACCAAACCATGGGTCTCTACCAACAAAACTGCCCCATCAGAAGAGCATCAGAAGATGCTCTACTGAGGTAGAGCATAAGAAATTAGTATTGGCCCCACGTAGTTTAGGGCTTTGGCTTAACAAAAGCACCTTAAACCCGACATGGTAGCAAATTGGCAACCAGTGCAGTTTTCTCAGCAAAGGAGCAGTATATTGCTAGTAACCTGTTCCTGTAAGCAGTCTGGCCTCTGCATTCTGCACTACTTGCAACTTCTGGTCCAGATAACACAAACCAACAAAGTTTGCTACAGTGATTCTTGAGGTTAGCCATGCATGGACTACTGTAGTCAGACTGTCTTGGTCCAGAGATGGTTGCAGCTGGTGTACCCGGCAATGCTAGTAAAAGCCACACAGGTCACTTGGGCCTCTCATGACAAAGATGAATCAACAAGTGCCTCTAGCTTGCAAACCCGCTCCTTCAGAGGGAGTGAACCCCATCTAGAACAGATTGGGCATAATGGAGAAATTGAGTTGGGTATCATCTGCCTACATATGGCACCGTGCTCCAAAACTCCTAGTGACTACCCTCAATGGCTTCATATAGCATTGGGGAGAGCACTCCATTGGATAAACTGGGTTGAAGAGCACTCTCCCAGCTCTACTCTCTGGACATGATCCTGCAGCTAAGAATGGGGCTACCGATACACATCTCCAGAAGTCCATGGACCTACACCATTAGAGTGACCGTTCGGACAACAATTCCAAAGTCTGCTGTCATTTCATGCAACACACAAGAACCAAATTAGTAGCATCTTGTGTACACAGTACCTGCTCTCCTGCTAGCTGTGGTCCCTTGAGCTCTCTCTTTTTAATCAGTATCCTGTACCCATAATTTTGAACATCATTTGATTTGCTTTAATTTGCAAAATAAGTGATATCTTTGTGTCATCATAGGTTGATTCACAGTTGATGGCCAAACTGGGTGAGATGCTGGAGACCTTGGCTGGAGGAAAACAGACTTAATTCTTGCCCTCTAGGCTGTTATTCTGGGGGGAAATGCCTCCCTGGTTTTTTCATCCAAAGGGCAAAAGAACAGGACCCTATGGTTGTGGAAACAGCTGGGGGCATGACTTTATTAGAGAAATGGCCTGCAAGGAAATATTTAAGCATCCTTAGCCCTTCATGGCTGCATTTAAAATGAAAGGGGGGGGGATCAGGGGGCTGTTTATGCATCTCTCCTATATTGTCTAATTTGGCCCTCATTTAAATTAATCTGCTTGGAATTTAAGCTGATTTACACCACAGTCCTCAACACACTTATTTGGAAACATGTTCCAGTGATTTCAGAGGAACTTAATGCCAAGTAAATGTGTTTAGGAGAGGGTGCCAGTTGGCTTAAATTATTGTACTTCAGTTTAACTGGGATTATAAATGAATAAAAGCCAAAATTCCCAAAGGAAGCATTGTTCATCCTGAAAGAATTTTAGCTGCAGACCCAAATACTTCATCTGAGTAATCCCATGGAAATCAGTGGGACTACTCTAGAAACAAGCAGCATAAATTCTTGCTGCTTTTCTGTTTTGCAGTATCCTGCATCTTATACCATCTGTCCTTTAAATTACCGTAACTTTTCCCTAGACTCCACTTCCTAATTGCAATTAATACCAAATATTTTAATTTTCTTGGCTACATAAAGGGCAACAAATAAATCAGGCTTTATTTTTCTGTCTTGCTGGGTCAAAGATTTGATTTATTGTGTCTATGTTATCACACAATCAAAATTTCATTCCCAGTGTTTGTTTGGGAAAATTCTACACCCTGCCTATTTATTTTGAATGTCTCTTCTCATTAATGTTGCTGAACTGTAATTTCCAGCCTCCAAATATCACTTTTTATTGTTCAGAGTCCCATAAATATATGGTTGTGTGTGTTTTATATATTCACATACATAGAACACTACCAACAAAGTCCCATTGAATTCAGTTCAGCTTACTTCAATGAGATATAGGATTACAGTCTGAATGTGTTTAGGGATAGATTTCAAATCCAGTCAAACACTGCTGTCCCAGATTTTTGCGTTCCCATTTTTCCAGCACAATTTTCAGAGAAGAATTTGGTGATGATTTTTGGATTTTCTTTTTCTCCAAGGGAGAACAACTAACTTGGAGTTGGGGGTATTTCCAAAATGATGCAAGGATTAAATGGTGGAGTATCACAGTTAAAATTATTGGAGAGAACAAAGCGATGAGTTGTCCTTTCTTCCCACACAGAATATTTTGGGCTTCAGCAGTGCAGGTGGTTGTTTTTAAATTTCCTGTTAGTTTTGATTGAGACATTGTCACCATTGTGCAATTACTAAATTGTGTGTGTGTGGATGGGGGAGGGTGTCAATAAAATAAATGTTTAAAATTATATGCTTAGAGTGAGGTAATGGTGCATACATAGAATTCTATCTCTTGTTCTGAAATCTGGATTTATCATATGGAGTTAGGCCAGGTGGAAGCAACCAGATATCAAAATCTGGAACAATAATGGGACCATCTCTAAATATGTGTATATATTCAAATTGCTATAGTTGTAAAAACTAATATTGGGCATCTCAGTGTCCATCCCACTAATGAAGTAAGTCTGTGTACTTTTATAATATTATTGGATATCAAGAGGGTTTCAGAAATCTACTCCAGGCATGACTAGGGACTTGGGCAGACTTTTCCTCCCTTCTTTCATTGTAAAGCAAGCCCATATGCTGTATTACAAATAGATTTAAAATTTTAAATGTGATTTGCCCCACAGTGTGCTTCTGCTTCTGTGGGGATGCCAAAGGCACATAGTATTAGTACTGTCATTACTAGAGCATGGCCCACAGTCTTCATATTCTGTGGTATTGCGCTCCACACACACTTGCCCCAAACATATGGAAAATCTGTTATACAACAGTCTCCCTAATAAGGGCTATAGCTGAATGTATCGAAAACCCAACAGATTCTCCTATTTTTGTATTCCTACCTGAAAAAAAAATTCTCAAATGGGTCCTGGGATTGGTGTTTTGGGAGAAATGGTATTAATTGAAAAGATCCAGTTTTGCCCCTTCTCCCCCTGCAAGGGGATTTTACCCCACCACCTCATACCCGTACCCCACACCATCCCCAAATCTGCCCTGGAGGGTTTCAGGCATGCCCAGAACAGATTTAGGGGGCATGTATGGGGAGGAAAGGCGAGGACATTCCATTGTGCAAGGAGAAATCCTTAGCACTACACTGAATACAACCCAACGTGAAAAGCTGTTTAAAGCACTAGTGATGTTTGGTGGATATCATATAGCGAATTACTATCTACACACAAACATGCACATGGGACAGCTATTTAGCTGTACCATGAAGGTAAGATTTTGGGTCAGAATTCAAGGGCCCCAATCTTCCCAGATTTTGAAGGAAGAGGAGGCCCCTGAAAGACCATTAAGTTTTGGAGCCTAAAAATGACCAAACTGCACCACTGCAGCTAACTTCAAATGATAAAACTATAAAATTACCTTAATGCTGGCTATTTTAATGTGATGCCTTTCTCTACATGGCAACTTAAAAGAGTTGCTATCTTATTTATCTAGGCTTAAAATATCATTGTTTATTAATTGTGGGAAAGGTTATTGGAAAATATAAAGAGCCGTGACTTTCTACTCTTTGGCAAAGGTCAATACTGGCAAATTCTGAAAAAGAATAATGGGAGTAAAAGAAAAGAAAAAAGGAACTTATGAAAAGATTGTTTAACCTCCGAGCCCAACGTTTAAATTACTCCCCTCTAGCAAAACGGTTACTTTATCCTAACCCAAACAATTTTCATAAAGAACAATTTCAGCGTTTGTACCTAGAGAATATAGGCATTGCTTTCAATCGTGCAAACGCCTCCCAGGCTTCTAATGGAAAGATGATTAATTCACAGAGCTTGCAACTATTTCCTTGAGGAGAGTGAGATAAGGTACCGGCTAATGGTTTGTTGAGAGCGTCCGTTCGCATCTTGTGGTCCGTGGCTTGGAAACTTGGCTCAGGGCCAGCTTTGGGTTTTATTCTGAAACAATCCTTTGGATTTCATATCAAAGCAGCTTGTCCCCAGTCCTAATTTAAAGCTAGGAGTTAGAGGGAAAGGTGAGAGCAGGGTAAATAAAAATCTCCAAAGAATTTAATCGCCAGCTAATTTAATGCAGAAAAGTGTGTTTAATCAGTCGGGCAGCCATCCTGAGCTCTATTTATATTTATATCTTGTTTCCACATAAAGAACACAAACCAGTGAAACTCAAGGACTTCAAAACCCCACTGATTTCAACAGGAGAGATTTAAGTGTAAAATCGGCTCTCCCATTGAAATTGATGAGCCTTAAGCCCTTAATTCAGATTTTAATAACTGACTTCTATTGATGCTCAGTTAAGTGTTTAGCAATTTTGCTCTGATGATTCAACATATATTCAGCAATTCTGTTGGAAGCGTACTCTAGTTCAGTATCCCAGTTCTCAAAATGTGTTTTCTGCTCTGATTTGCCAACTACAGCTTCCTTCAGAGATGATTTGGCCACCACAATGTGCACTATGGTAATCTCCAGACTAGACTGCTATAATGTGCCCTACCTGCGACTTCCCTTAAAGAAGATTAAGAAACCTTAACTGGTCCCAAATGCAGTGATCAGGTTACCAACTAAGGTTCTATTTAGATAGCCAACTAATATTTATTCAGAGTAGACCCACTGAAATCAATGGTCCTGAGCAGTGCTATTTTTCTAGGAAAAAAGAGGTGCCAGAACTCAACATGAATGCCTCCCTTGTTCTCTTATAATGGCAATGGTGCCCACCTGAGAGTGCTGAAACTGAGTGGTACATAGATTTTATAATAAAATGGGGTATTAATTTCCGCCCCAGCGCCTAATCAATCTGAATTTTATTCCTGCTACAACTGTCTCATCCACACAGTGAGATCCTATAGCACTGCCTGGCTTTGTCTTTTGCTTTCTACTTTGGTTATTGCGAGTGCGTAGGATAAATTAGGAAGCACCATTGTGTGCCACTGCATATAGGACTGGACCGCTAGGTTTTGGCCCATAAAGGCTGTGATCATAATCAATTAAGTTCTAGGTGTCTCACGTGCAAGAAAATGAGTTGAGCGCTAATCCTGCTGATTACTACAGGGCAGGCACCCTGAGATCACCTCATGCATTGCTTTAAAAGAGAGTTAGACAAATTCATGAAGGATAAGGCTATCAATTGCTACTAGCCACAATGGCTATGCACTTTCTCCACTGTCAAATGCAATCTTCCTCTGAATACCAGTTGCTGAGTTGCTAGAGTGCTGTGTTTGTGCTCATGTTCTGCTTGTGGTGTTTCCTCTGGCTGGCCAGTTTGAGAACAGGAAGCTGAACTAGATGAGCCACTCCTCTCATCCAGGGCAGATTGTCTTACATTCTTTTGCCTGACAGCATTAACAGTTTGTACGCTAAACTTCTAACTGCGATAAAACTTTGCAGAACACTGAAAGGATTTGCTGAATTAACTAATTGAACTGGAATACAAAAAAGGGAGGTGCGAGGAGGTCTGGGGAACAAGCAAATGAAAGATAAGATACGGAAAGATTGAATTGTTTTTAACTGTTTTTTACTTTGTATTTTTTCTTTTCCTTTTTTCTTTTTGTAACACTTTGAAAACCTTAATAAATATCTTTTTAAAAATAAATAAATAAAACTTTGCAGAACACTGACAGTGGGCATGTTGTGCATGTTTTAAAACCAAATAGGCATCCAGAGCTTGAGGAACTAATACTTTCATCTGTGGGGGGAGATGCAAGCAGAGGCCTAATGGACGTAGTCAGGCCTTTCGTTAGGGTGGCAGGCCTTTTGTTGGTGGGGGCAGAACCTCAGTTAGCTATGTATTTTTATTAATTTTGGGGGCAGCTGTCCCTCCCTGCCCCCCCCACTACACCCATGCTAATGCCCACCCCCATAGGGCATGGAGGGAGAATAATTAGCAGACCTCCAGATTTTTTTCCTGCTTGATTCACCACCCCCTTCTTCAAATAACGCGGTTGGGCCCAGTGTCGGATTTACATATAAGCTAAACAAGCTATAGCTTAGGGCCCCACTCTCTTGGGGCCCCCAAAAAAATTAAAGGGGAAAAAAGCTGGATGTACATTTCCAAAATATAAGATAAAAAACAAATAAACTAAAACCTACATACAGCAACAGTGTTTTGTGTTGTGTAGGCTCCCATGATGTAAGTAATGGGCCCTGCCTGCTAGCCTGCTCCCTAAAATATCACTGGTTTGCTCATTTCTATATATAGGGTGCCTACATTCTGCATGTGCAAATGGCTTTTGATACCTATTAGGTCTATAAATTACCATATATTCAACACAAAAAGCAGCCACAATTTGTTGTTGACAAAGGACAGCTGGACATATAACGGGCCCCAGTAGCTTAGGGCCTCATCAAACCTAAATCCGGCCCTGGTTGGGCCCCTAAACAAAACACCAGGCGTAACTGACAAAAATCAGAGGTGCCCTCGCCTCAAACCTGCCTGGCTGAAACCCTGCCAGAGACCCATGCCTGGTTCTACTCACTAGATAAGCACTGCACTCTGCCCATGCCCATGTGCCCTCTTCTCCTCATCAGGAGCTGGCGTCAGACCAAACCTTGAAGATGGATGCCAGGCAGGACCATGTGTCCTAAGAAACTCCTGTGGCTCAGATGAGAGCTGCGTCTGCTCAGCGGGAGGAGAGACCGGGTGGAGGAGGATGAAGGTGAGGCCGCTGCTTTGCCGCTAGGCAGCAGCCCCGCTCTCGGTCGGAAGGCGCCTCGGCCCCCTGCAGGGGAAAGCGGTCGAGCTCGCCAGGAAGGAGGACAGGGGGCGATGCGAGAGGAGGAGGAGGAGGAGCAGCAGGAGGAGGCGGAGGAGCCCCTCGGAAGTCTATAAGAGAGACGCGCTTCTCCCCTCCCAGCCTGGACTACATCGCTACTGGCCGGCCAGGCGCCTCTCTGCCCCGGGTGCTCACCCCAGAAGACCAAGTAAGTGCTTTCCTATGTAACTTTCTGCTCTCTCTATCTCAGTAGCGGACAATTGTGCTGTTTTGTTATATTCCCTCTGGTTCTGTATTTGCGTGCAGTCTCATTTATTGTCACTGGGAAATCAAGCCCGAAACGGTTTCCTCAGAAAGTGCTGCTTTAGAGATGCATCTTGGTGGTCTGTCTGCCCTTTGAACATGTTCTCTTGGAAGTTGCCTCAGTAACTTCCCTGGGAATAAAAGTTACCCTGCAAATCGAGAGAAGCGGGCTCGCTCAGCTTTGGCGAACTCCGCAGGCTCAACAACAAGCAGGTAATTTTAAATTGGATTGGCTAGCTCTCCCTAATCATCTTGCCATTATACTCGGGAGGGATTGAAAGTGATATTTGTTTCCTTGCAGGATTGTGCGCGAAGTCTTGCCGCTATTGATTCGTGTCGGGAGTTATTCTAGGCTCAACTGAAGAAAGGTGCGAATTTGTGGACTTTCGGAATAGGGAATATCTCGATCTCTTAGAAGCTCCTGGCTTTTCGGATGCGAAATCAGTCAGCTGCTGTTTTTTCAGTGCCGGAAAGTCAAAATGTGTAGCTGTAAGAAAGCAATATCATCCCGATCTTAAAAATAGAAGTTATTTGTGTGTATTGAGGATCAAGCCATTCATCAGCCGCAAATTGACCTCAAACCTCAAGAAAGTGAGAGTGGGGAAAGGCATATTTACATCCGGCTGCCCAATAAAGTAGTGAAAATCACACTGATGCTTGGGGAAATTGTTGTACCTAGAACGTTGAATGGGAAATTCTGCACTACTTTTTCTTCCCTTGCCGTCCTATAAACATCTGCTCATAAGTAGCAGGAATTTAGTTCAACGGAGCATGCTCCTAAGTAAACAATGCTGCATACTAGCTTTATCCTTTTAGGTTTAATTTTTGTAATAAAAACACTTGGGCGGCAATGCTAAATTTAGTGCTTTCTTGGCTTTAAGCCTCATTCAAATAAGACTTCCAAATAATAAAATTTTTGATTGATGAATTTATTTGCTAATAAGTCCTACTGATTTTCCCCTACTCTTTGTTCAAATAAATGTTAAGAATGGGAAGATGGCAGTAATACTGTTCATTACTCCCTAAACATCTCTGTTCATTTCTCCCAGTTAACTGATGTTACAGCCAAAGTGGTGTCTGAAGAGATCCTAAAAGCCCAATAAGGCACTACCTAGAATCCTTCTGTATCATCAAACATTTTTCAAATCCCTCAAGTGTAAAAGAGTTTAAGGGAATCCTCAGCTGTTCGCTTACAGTGTATTTGTTGGATGCTAACTAATATAATTTGCTTGTTGGAATCCTGGACCAGGAAAGGAAATGTACACCTTCTATAGCAGTTCAATGGGCACCGAATATTTACTGAGCATTCAGGCAAATTAATTTAAAAAACAACTATTGACAAAACAAATCAAAAGCAAAGGAGCTAAAACCTGAAAGGGAAAATATTGGGGGCATACTAAAACAAATGACAAGCAATTAAAATGCACTGATTCCTTCCAAATCGGTTATAGGAATACACTTAATTTTGGAATGCCACCACTGGAAGTTTGGGGACCATCTTGACTGGTTTTCACTCTTGACTACTTGCAAGTCTATCTTTAGGATCTTGTTAAAAAGATACTGATGCAGATTTGCACTAAGGAAAATAAATGCATATAGGTTATAAACTGCAGGTGACACATGATGCACTAAATATCCCATATAGATTTTGATCAGTTATTTCCCTACATGTGTATAAATAATGTTTATGGGAGTTTCTGTGCCTCTTTTAGAAGCGATTTTTCTCTGTCTACTGTAAGAGGAAAACTGTCACCACAGAAACTGCAAATTAGTCTGTGCCTGTAAATTTTTCTGTGTGAACAGGAACACAGGAAACTGCCTTAAACCAAGTCAGACCATTGGTCTACCTAACTCAGCATTTTCTACCCTGACAGGCAATAGCATTTCATGGTTTCAGACCACAGACATTCCCAGCCCTACCTGGAGATGTCAGGGAGTAAACCTGGGATCTTCTGCATGGAAAGCATTTTGGCAGACACAACATTAAAATTACACACTGCTACATTTTAGACATTCCCTGCAGTGTATGTTTCCTATTTCCTTTACATTCTGTCCCTTAGATTGTAAGCCTGATGGCAGGGGCTGTGTTGTTTTTTGATACCTTGTTCAGCTCCTTCAAAACATTAGGCGCTAGATGTTAAATAAATAATAATAATAATAATAATAATAAAATATCAGTAGTTTTGTTGTTTTTGACGACAGTCTGCTGCAATGACAGCATTCAGTTTTTAAAAAAACTTAACAATTGCGCAACAGTACAAAAATAAGAATCAGACGCATTCATCACCCTAAGTTTTTGCAAAATACTTGAATGGAACAGGGAAAGATTCTGAAACTAGGGGAAACCTTTGAGGTGGGAATACGGTTCTTCCAGTGGTCCCGATCCTGTTCTCACCATAGGCATAGAATGTGTGTTAGGCTCGTTCCCCTCCATTCATTTTTCCACTTGAAGCCCCTTCCCAATGTCCCATTGATGAGTTGCTGTTAAACCCCTGCAGAAACACCCTTCCACCCCAATCACACACTAAATACAATGAAGTGCAAGACTGAGCATCAAAATAAATTTTTGCCTGGGATAGCAGAACAGTTTGATTCAGCCCTGTTAAGAACTGGGTTTCCTTTTGCAAACTGGTCCCTGGGTTTGCTACTAACCCAACTAGATAGATAGATAGATTTAATTTATAAGACTCCTAGAAATATACTAGATTCAATAAATGCATAATATATACATGTACAAGGAGCACAGTCTCCTCAAACTCGTTGCCAATGAAATCTGTGGGACTGAAGTATACAGCTGATCTGTAGTCCCTCTGATTTCTGTAATAATTTATGCTTGCTGATTGTGTGTACATGCAGACAACTGTATATATACTCAAAAGAGCTAATCGGAAGCACAAAACTGTTCATCCTCCCCTTTGTATCTCAGCCTTTTGCATACATATTTCAAAAAGCAACTCCTGCAGGTCAGAAGACCTTCCAGAGGAGCTTCGCTTGCAATGCAAAGCTTTGTGGAAGGAAATGAAAATGGGCAAAAGCTTCAGCATTTGCACTAAAGCATTTTAGGTATGTGTCTAGAAGTCTTTGGATGTTGGCCAATGTATATGCAAACACATATACATAGATATTCCAGGTATTTCTATGACTGTACACAATGGGCATGACTGAAAGAACCACATACCTAATTTTGAGTACCCAAGTGGTACAGTATGCACCCAAATGGCAAGGTGCTGTTTACAGAAGGGGGGAAATCCAGAGGATCTCATTCACAGATGCAAACCAACGTTATGATCATTTGCTCTTTTATCCTGACAAAAACACATTAAAAGGTCCCCAGAAGCTGTCTGCGGACAAACGCCGGCTCCCTTGGCCTATAGAGCGAGATGAGCGCACAACCCCAGAGTCGTCCGCGACTGGACCTAATGGTCAGGAGTACCTTTACCTTTTTTAATTTGTAAATTAGTGTAAATTGGAAATGACAAGAAACCATCTCTTTTCAGTTTGTTTACTGTAACATATATTCAGTAAAAGCACTTTATTTTAAGGGTCCTGAATTGCAATCCTTCTCAATCAGAATTTTCAAGCAGTATTTCATGTTACATAACATCATCTGAACACTCATTTATGCAATTAAATAAGTAACTTTATTGTTACCAATGATTTCCAAAGTGGTGATATTTCAGTTATGTTGAATAAAAACAATTTCTCTTCAAAGTTATAGAAGTCATTCCAATCAAAACCTTGCCGAATAGAATTTATTGCCATTCATTATTTAATTACCAGAATCTTTTGTGAAACAATACAAAACAAAATACTTAGGGAACAATCCACCCCCAGCATCCACCAGCCTAGAGGAAATAGGGTGTGGATCTTTCTGCCAAATGTTTATATTTTAAAAGGAAAGAGGAGATTGAACTAAAGTTTAATTTCTACTGGAATATTAAAAAAGAAAGAATGAATATTTAACCTCTGGAAGAAGTGTATTTTTTTCCTAAAAGGACAGCCCATTTATTACCCACGTAGTAGAGTCAGATTCTGTGTAATTTGATTTTTCACACTTTATAATAAGATATTTTTTACAGAATGCAGAATTGGGCTCTGGACATAGTTTTAGGGGTGGTTTTTATTTAAGGAGAAATCCATCTGTTGAGCAAATATAATATAAGCTGTGTGATGCCACACACTGTGTGCCACCATTAGGCAGAGTGAGGAAACCAGTGGCATAGCGTGGGTTGTCAGCACTCGGGGCAAGGCAAGTAATTTGCGCCCCCTAACCCGTGGATTTGCGCCCCCTAACCTGTGGATTTGCCCTAACCCCAGATGTTGCGCCCGGTGCAGCCGGCCCCCCCTGCACCCCCCACGCTACGCCACTGGAGGAAACTGTCTCAGATTTTATGAAAGGGCAGAAAATTCTGAGTTATTTAATATTTTTATTGTATTTTAATTACTTACAAGGAGAGGTGCATGTGTTACTTTCTTCCTTGGGAGTTGGGTGCCAAAATAACTTGTCCAGCCTTTGTCATTACACAATTTGACTTGGGGAAGAGTACTATGTGCTGTTCAGCTCAGTCAACAAAATATCTGCCATTTCTGTAGATAACTTTATTGGGCACCCTTAATGTTTAAGGTCGCAGTATGTTGGTGCAAAAGCGGAAATTAATTCATTGAGTGAGAACACTGTTCAGAGAATGCAATTCCAAGCATGTGAGTAAATTCTAAACTTGTAAGTTTGACTGGTGTTCTGCCTAAACGTATACTTTTAAAGTCACCTGCTTCTGATTGCCTCCTATTTTATTGCTCTCAGGTCAGCCACTGTTTTCTGAAAGTCCTTTAGAACTGCCTGAACTCTGTACATGACCACAGTTCTTGGCCACAGGTGATGTGAATGCCATTAGGCAGTTGAATGTGCATGCATACTCATACCCTTCAACATTTCTCCGGTGAAAATAGAGACAGCCAATTCCATAACGATTTTACTATTTATACCCCATGTATCTTACTGGGTTGCCCCAGCACTCTGGGCAGCTTCCAACATATCTAAAAACATAATAGAACATGAAACATTTAAAAAAACCTTATACCTATGCCTTTAGATGGCTCGGGGATTGAATAACGCTATACCCCCTACAACATTTCTACAATGAAAATAGGGACATCCTAAGGAAAAGTGGGACATTTTGGAATCAAATCAGAAATTGGGATGGCTTCTCTAAATCAGGTATGTCCCTGGAAAATAGGGACACTTGGAGGGTCAGCATACGCCATCCGTTTCCCTCCCACCCACGCTTCCTCCACATGGCCCCGGGTGCTGCCAACCCACGCTACACCACTGCCTAAAACTAGTGGCCAACCATGCAGATTGTACTCAAGAATTACAAAATCAGTTCTATACCGATTTAATGAACTGTCTGTTATGAGCTGTGTTCCCTGAAAACACAGTGATAAAAGCGAAAAACAAATTGTATGTCCAAAGTGTTGCCGTAATACTAAAAAAAAATCATCAGGTCAGAATGTAATGATAACAACATTAAAAATACGTAACTATGATCGTCCTCTGAAGTACTTGGAAAGTAAGTGTTGTTGTTGGCTGCAGGTTCATCTCCACCAATGGACTATAGAAATGTATCGGAGAACTGCAAGGAGCTCACTGCGCCCTGCTCTAACTCCAGCTCTCTGCCAGCCAGTGTGCCTGGCACAGATTCTTCAGCTGGTCAACGAACTGCAATAGCCTTGGGGAGGCCAGCAGCTGCAAACGCCGCCCGAGAGCGCAGCCGAGTGCAGACTCTGCGCCATGCTTTTCTGGAGCTGCAGAGAACCCTGCCCTCTGTGCCACCGGACACCAAGCTCTCCAAGTTGGACGTGCTGCTCCTGGCCACTACCTACATTGCTCACCTTACCCGCAGCTTGCAGGATGAAGAAGAGTTGCCCGGAGAGGGCTTGGGCACGCTGAGAGGGGATGGCTATCTGCACCCAGTTAAGGTAAGCAATGCAAAACAAAGGGGTTTTCTTTTACTAGGCCGAATCAAGGAAGAGCATGAAAGCTTTTGTTATTTGTTATTAAATTTGTCAGTTGCTTTATCTTGCCCAGGGCAACCCAAATCAGCTTACAACCAACCAAACAGACAGACAAAAAGTCCCACATGCGTCCATTAAAACCAAGAGAAAATTGAAATGCATTAAAAACATCCTGCCCACTTCTAAAAGGCCAACAGCCTGGTTATAAAGGAAAGTTTTTGCTTGGCACCAGATGTATAATGATGGTGCCAGGCAAGCCTCCTTGGGGGAGAGCCTTCCACAAAGGGGGAGCTACCACAGAAAAGGCCTGTTCTCATGTTGCCACCCTCTGAATGCTTTTTTGAGGGACACACAAAGAAGGGCCTCAGATGACGATTGCAGGGTCTAGGTCGGTTCATATGGGAAGAGGCAGTCTTTGAGGTATTGCAGTCCTGCACCATTTAAGACTTTTAAGCAAAAATCAGCACTTTGAATTGGGCTCAGAAACTAATTAGCAGCCAGCGCAGTCAGGCCAGGATTGGTGTTTTATGCCACCTGGCTGCTGAATTCTGCACCAACTGAAGTTTCCAGACTGACTTCAGAGGCAGCCCTTTGCATAAGACACTGCAGTAATCTAGAGGTTATCAAAGCATAGATGATAGAAGTTAGGATATCCCTGTCCAGAGAGTGATGTAGCTGGGCCACCATCCAAGCTGCTACAAGGCACTCACCACCACCAAGGCCACCTGAGCCTCAAGCAACAGAAATGGATACAGACATCCTAAGCTGTGTGGCTGCTCCTTCAGAGGGAATGAAATAGGGTTTCCATATTTCAAACAGACGGAAATGTTGTTGAGCTTTTTTTACCCAAAGTTGGCTTTTGGGGCAAAATTGCAAAAAAGCCATTTTTGAGCTATTTGTATGGGAAAATGGCAAAAGCGGCACCGCCAACATGGGCTGCCATACGCCCGAATTTTCCAGGACATTTGTCTGCTTTCCACCCGGACACTGCTGCCGACAGCAGTATTCCGGATATGGGAAAATCCAGACGTAAGGCAACACCTGCAGATGTAAAGGAGAAGTAGAACTCTTTGTCAGATAGAACTGTCATCTTTTTAGTTCAGTGGAATCAAGAAAATGCCTCTAATTTACTTTGCGTTAAAGCAGTGCTTGCTCCTCCTGGCTACTGGCTCTTTAATTAGTAATTTCCTGAACTAGTTCCCTCTTGGCTTAGTTCAGGAAACTGCTAATTTAAAGGGCTGGTAATCAGAAAAAACAGGCAAACTATTACTGTAAGCAGCTCTTCACTTATTTGTTTCCTGTACTCATTCTATTCACTAGTGGTATTAAATTGGCCCTTGCTCATTAAAAAATACATATTCTAACATGCCACCCCAATCTCCATGAGCCGTGTGAAACTCCAGGAAATGCAGGTGCACCTTAACTCAGGATCTGTGTTTCCTTTTTGACTAATGAGGCACAGCGGAGATTGTGGTGTCTTTATGATATATGGTTTATTTACACATATGTACAACCTGAACCTAGGTGGAGGGTCTCACAGCATTGGCACCCTAACAGGTCCTTCCTTCTTCCATAGCCAGAGCCTTGCTCTCAAATGGTCAGCAAGCCTCATGCCCTGCCCTCTCTCTAGTTTATATCCCTGATAACTGTAACCCACAGGTCTACCCCCTTTTATCCCCTGAGGGATGAAAGAGGCATTCAGTTTATTCACTATTGAACACAGTGGAATACTACTATCAAGGCACAGATCTGTAAACTACAGATACCTGCACTCGTGTGTGTGTGTCTTCAGTATACAGTCGTACCTTGGATCTCAAACGCCTTGGCTCCTGAACAAATTGGCTCCCAAATGATCGAAACCCGGAAATGAATGTTCCAGTTTTCAAATGTTCTTTTGGAAGCTGAACGTGCGATGGGGCTTCTGTGGCTTCCGATGGGCTGCAGGAGCTTCCTGCAGTCCATCAGAAGCCACACTGGTTTTTGAACATTTTGAAAGTCGAATGGACTTCCAGAACAGATTCTGTTCAACTTCCAAGGTACGGCTGTAGTTTCATTCATCTCTTTTGTTTCAGAAAGCCTGACACCTAAGCAGTACTAATCTATTGTGTACTTTTGCATACATTGTCTTCTAGAAATGGCCAATGCGATCAAGGCTATACATTGGAGCTACAGGGCAGTTTTTGAGTCACTCAGCGCAAACAGAAAACACAAATCAAGGAGAAACTTCAAAAAATTCACAAATGTAATGCTATGTTTTTATAGTGAATGCTGTGTATTTATTATGCTGGATATATTTAAATTAAAACACTTCTTCCAGCAATTATGACCCTCCTCCCAATTGTATCTGATACCATTTGAAGTAGGTGGACAAGCTGAATTTGAAGGTAGTCACACATTCCTTTAGGTTGCTTTCTTTATGTCCAGAAGCAGTCTATTTGGGTGAGCAGTGCATTATGGTCCTCCTGCTGCAAACAACTACCACAATTTCTGAAATAGCAAAATGTACATGCGTTGTACACATGATACCAGCTGAGATTCATGAACTCCTGGCGAATGTAACATTATTTGAGTCAACAAGCAATCCATCCCATTTGTGAAGGAAATGGCTGAATGTAACGTGTGAGCTGACCCAATAGACAACTTGCAAGCATTAAAGCAACAAGGTTCGTGATTAACATAAGAATTATGGACTATCACAATGAAGGGATTCATTCTGAACATATCCCTCAAGAAACACAGGTGTGCATTCTTCTGGCTGTTCACATGCATCCAAGCTTTTAAGAACTTAAACAGAGCTTTGCTGGATCAGCGATCCATCTATTCCAATGTCCTGTTTCCAAAAATGACGGCACAGATTGTCTCACGAAGTGCACAAGCATGACATCAAAGCAACAGCCCTCCGCCATTGTTTGTGACCACATCTGGTATTCATAGGGTTCTTGAGCATGGAGGATCTATTTTGCAGTTGTGGCTAATGGCCACTAATAGATCAGCATGAGCCTGTGTGTGTGTGTGTGTGTGTGTGTGTGTTTATATAAAACATCTATAGAGTTTACAGTGTAGTCTGGCTGATCTTGTAAAGAAGGAGCTTAAAAAGCAGATCTGTGTTTATATGAACTTTGGATATGAATTTCTGTGTTGCATCTTAAGTGTGTAGAATTAAGATGCTTCTGCAATAAAATATAATTTCAATAAGCTGCAAATATTAATTAACCATAAAATGCAAACTTTTTACACTATGAAGTTTCTATACTGCATATTGAAAATTTAGTATTTTTTTGTTTCATTACACTTTGACCTCACTCTTTACAATTATTTTCACTGTATAATACCTGCCATATTAGGATAATACCTGCCATATTAGGATAATACCAAATGTGGTTGATGAAGTGGGATCTTTTCCACAAAAACGTATGCTATAATATATCTATTTAAAGTGCCACAAGACTCTTTGTTGCTTTTCCGCAGAGGTCCAAATTACCTTTGGAAGCATCTACTGTTCAAGAGCCTTTTCTCAGATGAATTTATTTGCCTCTTTTCATTGATAAAATGAATGTGTGTTAATAGTCAAGTGAGAACATTACAGTAAACAAAAACAAAACCACAATGTAAGCAGCTTTGTGTATGGAATCTAGCAATATTATGGGTGTTGTAATATAATTTATTATTTGTGTTTATCTCTGCTTTACGGTCTGAACTGCATTAATGTTTGAGGGAAAAGCTTACCGTACTTCTAAACTGCAACATGTGTACATGTTTTATAGCTTAATATGTTCATTCCAGAAAACAGAGCTTGCATGCTCAGCTAGTTCAGCTAAAATATTTGCAGCATGTAAGCAACAGTGGTTAGAAGATAAGTGCAGTAGAGATTCACCTAGTTATCTTCTCTTATTGTATATGTTATACATGATTTTACAGAATTTTAATATTTATATTAAATACTTTAAAAACTGCTATGATTTGTTAGAATCAAAGAAATACAACTGTTCCACAAGAAGCCAAAAATAAAATAAAATGCATTTAAGATGAATATTTGGGAAATTTCTTTGCGGTACAGGAGTTAAGAGTGTTATCATGTCTTATAATATTAGGATTTTCTTTAAAATAATAATAATGACAACTGATTAGCCTTTGACTCAGCCATCGCTATGGCTTATTCCGGAACCATTCCAGCTACCATTCCCATGCTTTAACTATGAAAAATGTGACTTGCAGACACACAGTCTCTGTAGAGGAATAATTCCTCCCCATATTTAACAGTACCTTTTCTAAGCACTAGTACTTTATAAAACTGAACACTTCGTTATTGACATCATTCAGTTATTTCAAGAAAGACCATTCAGCAAGACCTGTGCATTTTTACTCAGAATACCTGGTTTCAGTTTGACTTATTCTAGTTGGTATGTGTGCATAGGACTAAGGCCTAAAATGCTTGAACCCTGGTGTGACTCCTCACTTCCAACATAGCTTTCCCTCCACCCCCATACTAAAATCAGAAAAGGAGCCTGCCCCTGCCATTTAATCCCAGCCTCAAAGCCTCACGAGAGCTGTTTCTGTGGGCCTTCTAGGCATAATGGCACAAGCGCAACTCCTGTGCATTGGTGCTGGGTAATTCTGGCCCGTTCCTCAGTTCTCACAGAAACATCTTCCATCAAAATGCATGTGCGTCTCATGATCTGGAATACACACCTCATGATTTTTTGGCATGTGGGCATACAAAAATGTATACATTTATAGCTAACCAATCCATAATTTGGAACAAGTCGTGACTTTAATCTCATTTTTTTTCTTCATGTGATTCCCCCAATCTCATTTTTCTCTTCATTTTAGTCCCCCTCCCATCTGCCCCAAGCCTTTACTTTGCACAAAGACTGCTCTGTTCCATGTGGTCTCCAAGGGAGCAAATGGAGATTGACATAGAATATATTAACACAGAAAATGTTTTAACTAGAGGGTATACTATTGTAATTGCAGCTTATAAACATGAACCCAAAGCACATTGTATATAATATTTTTAATGTTTTGATTATATATGTGTATGTTTTTATTTATTTATATTTTGGGTGTGTTTCCCTTTGTCTGTTCCGTTGGCAGGGATCTGTTTTATTTAATCTTGTACAGCAGCATCTCGAATGAGGCTGCTATATAAACAATAAGCCACCTCATAGAGTGGGAGCAGCACCAGATAAAATTATGGGGGAGCAAAGAATGTGCAAAGTACATGGGCGTAGCCAGGATTTTTAGGGAGGGGGAGGCCTTTTGTTGGGGTGGGCAGAACCTCAGCTATGTATTTTTATTGATTTAGAGGGGCAGTTGCCCCTCCCTGCCCCCTCACGGCTATGTCCATGGCAAAGTACCGTATTTTTTGCACCATAACACTCACTTTTTTCCTCCTAGAAAGTAAGGGGAAATGTCTGTGCGTGTTATGAAGGGAATGCCTACGGGTGGCATGCCTATGGATTTTCCTCCTCTAAAAACTACGTGCATGTTATGGTCGGGTACGTGTTATAGAGCGAAAAATACGGGTATATTTTGGGGGTGGTAAGTTGAGTGTCTTACATATTGAAACAAAATAAAAAAATTCCTTCCAGTAGCACCTTAGAGACCAACTAAATTTGTTATTGGTATGAGCTTTCGTGTGCATGCACACTTCTTCAGATACTTACGTATTGAAGGAAGGAAAAATAACATTAATATATTAATGGCAAGAGTCCAGCAACAGGGCAAGGCAAGTGAGGTGGGGGAGACCTGGGAGAGCTCCTTATGGGGGGCACTTGTCCACCTTTGGTGCACCCCATGTTAGAGCACACACTTTTCCATGACGTGGAAGTGTGGTACCAGTCTTGTAGCCCCTTAAAGTCTTAACACGTTTATTAAGACAGGGTAGTCCATTAAAGGTTATGCCGTTATAAATGTGTCAGACCCTCCAAGTGTCCCCGTTTTCCAGGGAAAGTCCTGGATTTTCCCAGATAATCTCGTCCCGGTTTCTGATTGTCCCGCTTTTCCTTAGGATGTCCCTATTTTCATTGGGAAAATGTTGGAGGGTATGGAGTTATCCAGCCCCAAGCCATTTGAAGGCAATTTAAGGTTTTTTAATGTTTTATTCTATTTTTATATGTTGGAAGCCGCCTAGAGTGACTGGGGCAACCCAGTCAGATGGGTAGGGTAGAACAGTAAAATTATTATTATGGAATAAAGGTAAAGGGGCCCCGAGCATTAGGTCCAGTCGTGACCGACTCTGGGGTTGTGGCGCTCACCTCGCTTTATTGGCCGAGGGAGCCATCATACAGCTTCCGGGTCATGTGGCCAGCATGACTAAGCCGCTTCTGGGAGCAGTACCTATTTATCTACTTGCACTTTGACGTGCTTTCAAACTGCTAGGTTGGCAGGAGATTATTATAGAATAGGCCATAGGGTGTCCCTATTTTCATCGGAGAAATGTTGGAGGGCATGACGTTAGTCTTAAAGGTGCCACAAGACTTTAAAAAAAAATATTCTTGTCTTTACGGCCACCACTTTGGAAATCAGAGAAAAGCTATAGCTGATCTCTTCTTCCACCGCGAGAGGGTGCGAGATTCAAAACCCAAAATCTCTGGCGCGCAATCAACATGGATCCCCCCCCCCCGCCTCCCAAAAAACCCACCTTTTTCGTACGTCTCTGGCAAAAAAAGGGGGGCATTTGCCCTGTTGCCTTTTGGGTTAGCCAAGGTGATGAAATGTTGGACTCCAACTCCCGTCAGCCTCAGCTATCCAGGCCCAACTTTCAGGGGATGATGGGAAGTGTAGTCCAGCAACGAAACTTGTCGGCCACCTCGCCCGGAAAAGAGCGAGCGCAAAAGGCGCGTGGCTGGGTGGAGGAGGGCAGGAGGGCTGGTCACGTGCTCCATGGACTTATAATTCCGGTTCCGGCCACGCTCGCGCTCCTTTCTTATGGAGGTCTGCGGGGTTTCGCGTGATCTGCAGAACAGGTAAGCCATTTGAGGGCGGGAGGGGAGGCGGCGGTTTGCGCTGGCTGGACGAAAGTGTGTGGGGCGGCTTGGGGTGCTCGCGCCGACCAGCCTGGCTGCGTTTGCTCCCTCTTCCTCGGCACGTACCTTGAACTCAGCTAGGCCAGGACTCGTGGCGGGTAGAGCGCGCGGGGAGCTTCCCGCCTTCAGCTGGAAGCCGAGGCGGGGGCGGGTGGGGGAACCGTTGTGGGTCTGGATGCCTTTTTTCATGGACGGGGCCACGTCGCGCTCCCTCACAAAGAGGATCCCGCGCGGCTCCCGCGCCTGATAATTGGTCGGGGCTGGGCACCTTTGCCCACTTCTGGAATGCAATTTATAGAATGAGTGGTTGTTTTGGGAAGCCTTGTTATGCACTCTCTTCTTTAGAGCCTTCAGCCCACTCTTCTATTCCCCCCCCCAACCAGTGGAAGGAGATGAAGGTAAAGTTGTCTATTATTCCATTAGCAGATGGACCTTACTGCATTTATCTAGAAGCAGTTTTTGTCATAACGCGCTATTGCCATGTTACCTATATTCCTCGTGTAGTAACTTGAAAAATAGAGGATTGTTAATACACGTCATGCCAGAGCTTTCCCAAATATGTGTTGTTGTGACACAGTATGTAGGTGTTTTACAGCTCCCCCAGGGCTGGAAAGGGAGCGGGCAGTCCGCTGAGTAGCTGCTGCCAGGCCTCACAGGAGCCTCCCCACCCTGCCTGCTCGCACGCTTTCCTCTCCTCCCTGGTCGAGGCTGCTTGTCAGGTGCTCGGATCTGATGATCCATGCTTTCCAAGGAACCATTGGCGACTCATTCGCTTGCCCCGCCCCACCATGTGCTGCCTGCTTGGCTGGGCTGGGTGCTAGCCCTCCCCTCTTCTCTTGCAGCCCTCCTGCCTCTGGGCCAGTGCAGCACCAGGCCAGCATGAGGCCCTGGCCCAGGATGGAAGAAGTCTTCTCCCTGCAGTAGCCAAGACTAGTTGCCACCCACCCTCACTGGCTGCTGGATCCCACCACTTTGGCCTTGCACTTGTTGCAGAGACCACCACCTGCTCTGAGGGAGTTTAAGTGCTGATGCTGCTATTTTCATGTTTAATTTCTTAAATTGCAGTTGAATTACCCCCTAAAATGGATAGGTTTCTAATTAAGAAATGTTGGTGAAGATGGTGTTTACAATGAACAGAATATAGCAGCTGTAGAGGAAACTATACAAGAATCAACTGTTGAACAGTCTGTTTTAGTACATAAGAAGTGTAAAGGAAAAAATTCCAAGCCTCATTTATACAAAAGATTACAGTATATGAAACGGGTTCATTTTCTGGTAATGAAAACAATCCTTTTTCCCAGTGTCGTTTGTAGGGATATACTTACAAATGAAAGTATGGTACCAAACAAATTGAAGTCATTTTACCTCAAAACACAGTCATTTGTCAGAAAAAGCAGTAGAATACTTTATTGAGATTTCAAAACCTATAAAGAAGCCGTCTGCAACACTCAAAAGGACAATGCAGGCATTAGAGAAAGCTCAAAAGGCAAGTTACAGTGGTGCCCCGCAAGACGAAACCTCGCAAGACGGAAAACCTGCTAGACGAAAGGGTTTTCCGTTTTGGAGGTGCTTCGCAAAATGAATTTCCTATGGGCTTGCTTCGCAAGACGAAAATGTCTTGCGAGTTCCTGCAGGGTTTTTTTCCTCCCCCCCTTTTTCCCAAGCCGCTAAGCCGCTTATCAGCTGATCCGCTAAGCCGCTTATCAGCTGATCCGCTAAGCCGCTTATCAGCTGATCCGCTAAGCCGCTAATGGGCTTGCTTCGCAAGACGAAAAAACCGCAAGACGAAGAGACTCGCGGAACGGATTCTTTTCGTCTTGCGAGGCACCACTGTGCTTGGTAGCTCAAATAATTACCAAAAAACAAGGAACCACACACTATTGCAGAAACCACCATAAAGGAATCTTGCTGTGCTATTGTTCGAACAATGTTTGGGCCAGAATTTGAAAAAGAAGTTAATAATAAGTAAAGTTATGGACAAAGTGGTTCAAATGGTCATTTACATTAAAAGTAGACATCTTGAATCAAGATTATTTGCTCATATTTGTGAAGAAATGGGGGCAAGTTTTCAAAAGCTTCTACTACACACACATTTGTTGGCTGTCGAGGTCAAATGCTTTGTCTTGTATACAAATTGAGGGAAATGATGCTTAAACTTTTTGAGGAAAATCAGCAAAAGGAATTCTGTGATCTCATTCAAAACAAACTTTGTTGTGCAAAATTGGCATATCTTGCTGACATATTTGAATAAAATGAATACCAGTATGCAAGAAAAAGGAGAACATATATTAACAGTGGTAGATAAAATTTGTTCTATGAGAGACAAAATAGCAATTTGGAAAAGGAAA